CATTGGGATGGAGGGTGGAAACCAGTATTATTTGAACATGGGCAGGAGTAAAACCCACCCAGGACACCTGTACTGAGTAAACCATTGGAGACTGCTCATGTGTGAATAAACATAATGACCATTTAATTATTTCAGTTCCTGATGATCCTAGATTTGCTTATGGAAAATGAAGGACTATTTTCCTTAGTGACATATTACAGTAGATAGATTAAAAAAGCTAATTTCACTTGGGAGTTAAAGATAAATTGACACACTCTTAAATACATACATTTCTTTTTCTTTCCTGTTCTCTAATGAGTTCATAATTTAATTGGAGAAACTGCTAGATTCCCTCCAAATACTAGTGAAAATCTCAAAGGAGAACAAGCTGCTTCTGCAAGTGTTCTTGTAAAACAAAGAGTATTCAAGTATGGTAAATAAATACTAGAACCAAGAATGGTATTCAGTTGTCTCCTTAAAAGCTTGAAGCCTGCATATGTTCATATTGATGGCCTGCTTCCGAGCTGAACATTAATGAAAACATTTTCTATTATAAATAAAACTAAAGCACTTCTATATATTACCACTTCCCTAGGGCAAAGTTCTGCTTTTGGGTAAATTGCAGCGGGATATTATTACAGCGTTGTCAAGTGTATGCCGGAGTAAGATACAGATTTAATCCAATTAATCCATCTGTAGAACGGATCTGCAGCAAAAGGCAGGGGGAGGCAGGCTGGCTGCCGGTGTGCCGGCCGCTGAGGGCTGCAGCGCGAGCTCCCGACTCGGGGGGGCAGATCAGCTCTGCTGAAGAGGAAGGGCGCTCACCCACCCCAAATCCACCACGGCGACGCTGAGGGGGTCACAGCCGGCAGGAGGGGCAGGGTGGACGAAAAGGCAAAAAAGCCTCAAGCCCCTAAGTAGCAAATCTGCTTTCCTTCAGAGAAACGTATTCAGATTCCGAGATGGATTTAAATTTGGGAGAGAGCATGTGAGAGCAAGAAACTGTTAAAAACTGAGGATACCTTTCACTCACGTACTGCGACTTGGAGGTTTCTGTTGCTGCTGGAACCGCAACCGTAGCTGAGGCAGGGTCAGAAAACCCTGGGGCTTCAATACAGAAGCTTCAAGGTGAGAAGAGTATAAAAATAAATTCCAAAGGCCTTAATAACATTGTACAGAGGCTGGCTATTCTGGTGTCAGAAGGAAACTGGTGGCTCTTAGATCAAAACCTAATCACCCAAAAGCAATATGATCCTTTGTTTTAGCCCACTAGTTATTCTGTCACCCACTGGGGCAATGTTTTTTTACTAACATCCTGAATTACAGTTAATTTAAAGTGTATAAATGTACACATCACCGACAATATAACAGTTAAAGCAAAAATACTTTGGAATGAACGCAGTTAAACCTTTAGCAGCCTGATCCAAAATCTGCTAGGAACCTTTTGCTTGGCTTCAAAGGAATTATTATCAGCATTTTAGTGAACTTCTCCTACAAAAAAATGCTAAAAAAGGGAGCTGTGCCTCACAGCTTACTGCCGGGACTGTCCTTCCCGTGGAATGGAAGACGGGCAGAGCTCGCAGCCGGTCCAGGCCAGCTCTGCAGGCAGCAAAGTGACAGAAACCTTCCTGAGGTTACCACACAGGACACCCTCTGATTCTTAGCAGCAAGGCCAGATGAGGGGAAAAATGTCTGCTCTTTCTTAGTTTCCCATCCCAGAAGACTTTATTTATGCATTAGTCGACCTTTCTAGCCGTTAGGACCATCTTGCTTCAGCAGTTAATTAACACAAGTGCCATAATTTAATACAGTTAATGCTACTTGATGCCCTTTAATGTACCTTCCATTAGTGATATTATTGTAGTATTACCCTGTAAATTAAAATGAGATCAAGACTAAGAGAGGCTCTCTTTAATTAAGGTACTGGCACACTACATCGTCCATTATTCACTAGAAAAAAATCACCCTGATTTAGTGAAGCAGACCATCAGTAAGTCAGAATTAGTTCATGTGGATTATTAGGTTTCTTGAATAATGTGAGCACAATGGGGCTGCTGAAATTGCTAACAGCCACGTTCCCTTTTTTTCATCATCTTAATAAATACACAATGGAAGTGGTAAATTGAAGATGAATAAACAGGTGGTAATAGAGGAGGTAAGGCGTTCATCGAGAGTACACAGGCTTTCATCTCTAATGCAACATACATCAGGCTTATTTTACACGAAAATGCAAAGCAATGGCAAAACGAATCCTATAGTAAGCGCGCAAATCCCTTATCTGTAATTCATTGTGAAGTATTAACCACTCCAGCATCTTGTATATTAAATATGGCAGCTTTAAGATAGATGCTTTTCACTGTCATTGGTCCTTAAAATATAGTGTGAAATAAATTACATTTTATGCTGCCTTTAGAAATATGCTATTATGAGCTTTGGTGATTTTAACTATATTTAACCTGCAGGTTACTTTTTTCAGTAAAAGGGCTAGCTTTAAAACGTGTCTGCTAGCATCACTCATCCACCACATATCAAGCTCCTTGGTAATGTCCGTTTGTATCCCATCCTCATGGAATAGTCTAGTCTAGCTTTGCTAAATGTATATAAATAGCTGGGTCTCAAAGCCCAGAATATGAAACATTGTAGCAAAAAAAAAAAAATTGTAACTTAATTTCCAGTTAACATCCTAAATTAATTGCAAGGGCTGGAAAGCTCAGCTCAATCAGAAAGAGCGGCACAAAACCCCTGCTAACCCTTGCTCACCTCCATTGCGTTCCCACCCGCAAGGCGTGCCAGGGTGCATGACCATAATGCTGATTTGGTGACTCTTTGGGGAGGGGGCCTATAAGGTTTCTGGTAGGAGACGAAAACTACCTAAAACTGGGTGACAGTGGGCCTGCTGCAAGTCACCCTTGGTGCAACTCAATAATCGGGGCTGCGTCCTGCAGCCCCACAGCTACTTAGCAGTAAGCAAGCCCATAAATTCTTTAACAAGGAGGGCTCACGACATATTGAAGGAAAGGCCACCAAATCCCTGAAGAGCTGTTCTTCTCATTAGCAGAAGAGTGATAAGAATTCACATGAATCTCATCTAGTGAGATACTATTACACATCAGATACTTCTTTTAAAGCATGTGTTCAATTACTGCAGCATTTAGACAACAAGCATTAGCATCAGATAAGTTCTCTGTACAGTCACGCTTCATTTTTATAGATAATTTTTCACAAGATTGCCATGCCCCAGATGTGCTCGGAAGGTTTCTGTTTCTAATTTGCATGCAATGCACTCTTTAATCCTTCAGATGCTTTCTTCGATAAAGTATTGATAGTCTAATTGAAGTCAGACTAAGCTCCAAATGGGTTTTCGGATGGGGAGCAGCTTTTCCTTAAAGCGTTAAGGACGTTCAAATCCTGAGCTTTGATATGATCCCTCTGTAGAGCTAACCTATGTGGGGACCAATAGAGAAAGGATACACATTAAATAGAACTTATGTCTTTTTTTTATATACTGAGGCTAATGCTACTAAACTATTTCAAACAGTATCTTAAGCTGTCCATGATCCACTTAGCCCTCTCAAGAGACTTCTGAAAAATAATTTACAATATAACTAATGAGAGTTACGGTAAGAATTCTTAAACCAGCAGCATTTATCTTATACTTTCACACGTTCAAGTAGTGATTCTGTATGCACATGTATGTATTTGGTGTGAACACAGAAGATTGTAACTAGATGCTAAATCTATGGTCCTGAGAAATGTATTTTGATGTCATATAAAAACGTATCAGCACTGCAAAAGTGCTTATGCCTTAAAATCTGTCTGTGCCATCAATTCTTCCTTTATATAAAGTTAGAGAAATATTTTTCAATAGGTTACATCACAGTAATTTGATTCTATTTTCATTTTATGTATTGATTTTTGCAATATGGAAATGCTTATGAACATGAAAGGTTTGTATAAAAGAGGTAGAAAATGGCAAACTCACTACAGGAGTAATAAAAATACAGTCACCAGTGTTTTATATAACTGCTGTCTCTATTTTGTTTCACTCAGTCTTGTGTCTGCAAAAAGTGCCCTGGCCTTCCAAGACACATTAGCTTTTCTGTTCATTTTGAGACTTAGCTTCTCTTAAAAAAAAAAAAAAAGTTTTTTAAACTGGAAGGTTTGAACTCTCTATAGAAGAAACAGAGAAGGAAAAGGTACATTAGAGAGGTGAGTTAATTGCTAACAGAGAAGGTCCCATTTATTTCTGCTGAACAAATTGGCATCTAAGACACACGTAAAGGGTATCACCCTCCTGCTTGAGGTCATCAGTCAATTGCTAGTTTGAGTTGGGAAAAAAATTTCCCAATAGGAATGTCATTGCACAGTAGTTATTTTGGGGACTACAGCACCTGATACCAACCACTGCTTGCCCCAGAGGTACTATATGTCTTGAACGCAGCTGAGTAATCATCTTTGTTACATTCAAATCAGTCTCTCCAAAACACTGTTGTTTTTTTCCATTTCACTTCAGCTTCACTGCATTTCAGAGCTAATTAAAGTACAAGGAATGGACTCTAATCTCTGCCGCCTTCCTTGTTGACAGGCAGTTCATAGCCGGACCTAGTGGGAAGGGTCCACGCAAGGGCTGCTGTATCAATCACAGCTTATATTAAAAGCCCAAAAAAGTAAAATGATAAAACAGAATCTCTCCTTTTAGTTAACTGCCACCGGATGAGGCTCCAACTGTAAAAAAGCAGAAAATGTCCAGGGTGAATTCCTGAGCCAACGTAAGAAACTGTTAATATTATCCTGCTCATGAGACCTAGGTCCTAAGATCCCAGGCTAGTGACAGCGAACACCCGGGACTTTGTGCTGCTGAGTCAGAAACTGCTAGTATGACCAGAAACAGACTTGAACTCAGCCAGACTTCCAATGAACACGTCTCAGCAGAAAATGTCATGTTTGGGGACAAAACCAGTTTTGAATAACCTCTAAAACCAAACATACATGCCTGTTTCTAAAGGTATATATTCTCTTACCTTCCATATACCCTTATGTCTGAAATGGCATAAAAGTAGCGTGCCAGGTGTTGCTCATCTACATATATTTCTCCAGTTGCTGGCCTAAGCAATCTTATCCTCAGATCTGTGACGGTAAAGAAATCTCTTAACTTCTTGGTTGTGTCAAGCTGGCCATAAAGAGAAGCCATGTTATGAAGCCGAGGTCCAGCAAAAAAAGCAAATCTGTCTTTGATTTCAAAGTGGATTATTTTACTATTTGTCATGTACCCAGTAGAGTATTCCTCTGTGCAAATGATTTCTAGGACTGTGTGCTGTGATAAATCCTTCACTGATTTTGGATCCATGTGGAAAGCATCTAAGCAGTCCGTGGCGTAGTATTGGTAGGGCTGCCATGTTCGTCCATAGTCAAGCGATTTCTCCAGGATCATTTGGTCTGGACGGCCAGATTCAAAAGTGATAACTATGTTATCTGTCAGCTCAATGGTTTTGTTCCAGGAGAGCGTAATATTAACATGAAGAGGCTTTGGATAATCCTTCCAAGTTGTGGACTGCCAAAATGTGGAGGGATGTCTTCCTTCGAGATCAAACATCAGTTCTGGAGGATGAGCCAGTTCTTGGGTACTCGCATCACATTCATTATTGCACATGTAGGGATTCCCCTGGAAAAGAGCAAAGCAGTGTTACAAGCGGCATGGCATAGGTGACTGTGACACATCAAGATGTTTCTCATCTGGCACATGAGAACTGCTGCTTTTTCTCCAGGAGTGAAACCAAGAAAGAAAACACAAATGCTTGCAAGGAATACCTTTATCTTAATCAGACTTATCCTGGCTATTTTATCCGTTGAAGTAAATGTACGAATACACACATATAGGGCACCCTTGCTTCTGTAACATAAACATTTTTCTTAGTATGTTTTCGAGAAAGAAAAGAGTTTATTTACCCTGAATGACCTGGACCAGCGATCAAGTCACAAAAGACCAAGACCAGTAAGCAAGTTTCTAATAGCTCAGTAACTCTGACTCTTCCTAGAAAGACGCAGCAGCCAAAGAGAATTTCTTCTTAAAACAAATACGTTCCTCAAAAGCTCCGTTCACAAAGGAAGTAATTTTTAGGGCAAGTGTTTTGAGGTCAGCAGTGCAGCCCATATGTATTCGGTATGAACCAGTACCCAGTACACCTTCAAGTTTCCTTTCATCCGGGCGTGAAATTTATCATGCTTAACTGTGCTCCCAGCTTAGCACCGGCTTGCCTTAAAACATTTACACTCGTCACCAAAAGCCATTAGAAAAACAGTGCTCTGCCAGCTCTGGGGCTTGATTCAGACATCTGCCATCTTATTACAGGGTAGCGAAGTACTTCAGGAAAGACTTTTCACAAGGCACTGGCTCCAATTTAGCAGGACAAGATAATCCAGCACTTGATTAGGTGGGAGATGTCAGCAGCTCCAGCTGGAACGCTGCCGAGGTGGCTGGAGCTCTGAACTGGGGGTTGAGTTAAAAACAGCAACAAAAAAAGCTTGCCAATAGTGCACAGCTTTTACTGCTGCTTGTCCTCTGTAGCAAGGTGAAAGTGAATTATTCTCTTTCTGGCCTTTTGATGCATTAACTTGCACACTACAATCTCCTGCTTCTTCACAAAGGCTATTTTGTCTGCAGATTGGGGATATCTTGCAGCAGTTGCCAAGATATCAAACCCTGTAGGCTGCACTGAATCACATCTATCTAATTTTGGCTTTCAACTGTACATTAATATTTTGCTACTTGTTCATTCTGTGTTTGTTCCAGAGAGCAACCGCTGCTCTGTATCCTTCCCTCCACCTCACATACAGATTGTGGAAGAAGCCATGCCTCTTTTCACTGATGGTCAGCACTGCTGGGGAAGAAGATGCCCATGCCTATACCCAGCAGTGCTCGATAAGGGCATAAGTGTAGCTGTTACTGTCATTAATCAGAGTTCCCCTCACCTACCCTGAAAACAGAACAAGCCCTGGTATGATAATCAACCTTTTCTTTTCTTATAATTACAGTTATGTTTCTCTCCATCTCAAAGCCTCAGGGCAACGAAGCGATTCAATACCATCCAGTGTGGGAAATGGGTTTCAAACATCGGCTTCCACCTCCGCCACTGCTCTGCTCTTTGACATACTCCCACGAAACACGAGCAAAAGGACTTCTGCACTCACTTTGACCTCCCCGCTGGCAACTTCCTCTTACCTGGGCAGGGAAATACTGCTTTCTTTCTCTCTCTCTTTCCCATTAATACAGCTGAATGCTAAAACTGACAATGATTCACTGGGACTCGAAGTTAGGAAAAAAACTACAAGACAACAAAAAGGGTTATTTGAAAAGCAGCACACTGCTTGTTACACTGACAGCTTCAAAGCATGCAGCTGTAACTGAAAATACTCTGTAAAACGTGTCTATAATAAGTCCCTGTTACAGTTCTGATTTCAAGCTCACGGTTGCTATTTCTATGCCTTCCTTTTGAATAAAACAGTGAAAATCAAAAATAAGTTTCAAGCAGAATAGAGAAAACACTGAATTTTTTATTATTTAAGCTCCATTTAATATATCAGACACAAATGCCAGGATTTGCTAACTTACTTAGGCCTTTTCTTTTCCTTAGCATAAATATACATATTGTGAAAGCCGTAAGGTTCCAGACCCTTTGACTGTATGTAAATATCAGTTTTGCAGAAAACGCTCAGAGTTGTGTAAATCACACCTTTCTGAGGTTTACTAGAATAAATCTGGTCACTTCTGTGCCTGTCACCATGAAGCTGCCTGCGTACCTATAACGTATATGCTTCTGTCATCACTGTGGTAAAAGCGACTTCACTGGGAGGTCACGGGTATGAAAACCCAGCAAATAAACGCTCCTGGGTAGCCAGACAGGTGCATTAAGCATTGCTGAGGGATGGCTTTGGTTTCCTGCTCCACAAGCAACCACCGAGTCTGTTGTGATTCTTCATGTTAAAAACTAAAGCCGCTCTGATCCACTAGTCCCTGGATGCTGGAGGAAGCATGTTTTATGACTTCAGTGGGTAACGCAGATTGTGTGGGACGTATTGTTTCTTTCTGTACATAAGAGCTGATTTCTTTTGCTCCCTTTTTCTTTCACCTTTTCCTTTCACCTTTTCCTTTTTAGCAAAAGCTGAGGTGCCAATATAATCAGAGAATGCTGGGAGCCGGCGCTCTAACAAAACGTAAGCTAGTGTGAACGCAGTGAGATCATGAGAGCTGGTAGCAATAAGGTACCTAAAAGAATGGTGCAGCGAATGCTAAAAATCAGCCCTAGTTTGCAACTGAATGGTAGTCTACATCTCTGTGGGTACAAAGCTTTTTGGGAAAGATGAGGCTCTTCCAATTAATGGCAGAGTATAGTGAGAAATGAGTCAGAATCACAGCGCTGTCCTGCACCTGAAACTCTTACCAGCGGTCACATCAGTGGCACAACCCACCACTGAAACCCTGGGGTAAGGACATCACTGCAAGTGAGAATCCTAGCAAAAAGCTTCAGGCATATCCTCCCCAATAAATTGAATTATTCTTTTAATTTCATAGCACACAATTCTCTTTTAAGAGGCAAATGATTTGATGACACCAAAATAACCTGTGTGGAATTCAGTATTCTAGAGAGGAAATTAGGAAAAAAAAAAAAAAATCTAAGCCGACATAAGCCGATAAAATAAATATCCTGAATTCTAACACAGGGAGGGAGAGAGAAATGATGAGTTTAGGTAAGTTGCCCTCTGCCTACTGACATGGCAGTCACTGATGTAATTTTGAAATATTTAACGTGATTATTGCTTCAGAGGCTTGGAGTCAGATTCCCATTTTCTCTACCAGCAACTTGGTTTTAAATTGCTTCTAATTAATCTTAAATGTAATTTGCACGTTAAATCATACTTACATTACCAAAACAGTGTAAAAGGGTCTTACCCTACATGAACGTCCCTTAATACATGTTAGTATGAAAACAATTAATTTAACTGGGATTAGTTACATATTTTAATGTCTTGATCTCTGTGATAATCCTCTTTAAGACCTCTATCATCTCAGTAAAATGAATACAACAAGAGAAACTTTCCCCAGTTTGTGAAAACTAAGCCCATCCTGTGCTGGGGACATCTAAAGGACCGGAGCATTAGCAGCTGCAAGTAATTTTGTGACCAGCAGGCAGCTGCAAATAGATCTTCATTTAAGCCTTCCAAGCAGCAGCTCTTCAGCTGGACAAGGTAGAAAATATTTATAACTTTTCAGAACGACATTTAAGCCATTAGGAGATTTCTAAATAATTAAACACTAATAAATACTTCTGAACACTTTATGCCAATTAGCGTAAAAGGTAGCTGAGGCTTTCCCAACACCATGAGCATCTAAAAGAAACCCATTATTTTCCTGTACAGTAACTGGAGATTGATATTAAATAGCTCCTTGCAGGCAGGCAAATTAAGTTGCTATTTATTTTGTTTCAGGCCGCTCATGGAATTCAAAATATTAACAGAACTACTGACATAGTCTGAAAGTTTTGGCGTTAGGAAGAGGTACCTGTTTTGCAGGCACAGCAAGGGCACATGGCTGTATCACACGGTTTGATCACACTCAGCCCTGGCTGGAAAAAGCAGAGCTACCTGAGAAGCTGCTGACTAGGGCTGACTGGTCCCAGCAGGGTTTCCCTTCAATTAGCTGGATTTAGTTTGTTTTAGCACACAATGATGTCTGTTTGTGCAAGCCAGCTTAAACTTTTATAGTGGTGTCTGAGGTGCTCTGTGAGTGTCCCTGCCTGGGACGGGGCGCTGGGGCTGGCCTTGGTCCCGCTGGGCAGGAGCTTGTCTTACCAGGGCATCTTCAGGAACAGCTCGGTGACGGATGGGATGGTGACCCTAGAGTGAGGATTTTGGTTAAAAACAGAGGTCTAGCAGTAGTATGACCTTTGAACGTCAGCAAGGGAGCCGTCGGCGGTGCTGCAGCTGCTGTTCGAGGGTTAAAGTCTGAGCGCTGCTCTCAGGCAAAGTCGCCAGCCCATCTCTCATCAGGATGGCTCCTCGGTGGCATCCACACAGGCTTAGGGCTTGATTGAAGATGTTGCTTCTTTCAATCTGCTTCCTGTCCATACTAACATCTCATGGACTTTTTTACTCAGGAACAAAGACAGGGGGGCTTAACCTTTCTGCAGTGTGAATATTGGAAGCTGTATCACAGATTACATGCTGTAATAGACACCTGGCTAAATCCCTACGGAGGATTATAACTTGCATTTTCAAACTGGTGAAGGCTGCTGAGATCAAGCAGGCCAAGATTTTAAGAAGGAGCAAAATAAATTTTCAAGAAGCGAGTCACAGCAACCAATTTTTATACCGCTGCCTCAAGGTAGTTAGCTCAGATGCACAAGACAAGAAATAAATACAGTCTGACTCGCATTTGGAGTGAGGTTGTGCAGTAAATTACTGCATTCAAGTCACACTTTTGGAAATAATAGAGTATTTCTGTTTCCCTTTCCAAGAGATCATTACAAGTTTTTTGCTTGGTACTGTGCTGTACATTGTAGACCAACTAATTAGACAGTAATAGCTAATAGCAGCAATTGCCCTAATGCTTACATTTTGCATGTGGTTTCTAACCAGGAATTACTTGTTTACCATGACAGAGCCAGA